TATTCTTTCTCTTTCTTCTTAAAAAAAATAATTTAAAGGAGCCATACAAATAAAAAAATAAAATAAAATAAAAATAAAAACAATTGCAAAATAAATGAACAACTTTTCTGATGACTGGGCAAGAAAAGATACAGTTCCTCTCCTGTACTTCACATGACATTCAGAGTTGACAGTAGTAAGTAAACCTTTAAGAGGCATTATAGCATAACAGTTCAGAAGACTGCATTTTGCGTTTTCACAGTCTGGATTCAAATTCCAGCTTTAGCCCTTACTTGCTGTGTGACTATGGGCATCTGACAAAGCTTTCTAAGCAAGTCACCTGAAGTCATCTGTAAAATGACAAGAACAGTTTCTACCTCATGATGTTTTCTAGCTATTAAATGGGACAAGGCTTTTGACACGTTTAGCACAGTGTCTGCTATGAGGTTTAAAAATGCAGAAATAAAATATAACTCTGGTTATTGCAGTGGCTGGATGTTATTGTCATTATTACCTAAAATACATAGGACACTTTGATTTTCTTGATTACTTATCTTGATTGCATTTCATATCATTAAGAGACAGGCTGGAGGAAATTAATCATGGGGCATTTCCAACTCTGAAATGGGGATATCGGATCTTTGTTCCCTTAAGAAAATACTTTCTAATTATGGAATTTATGGTGTTCTGGCACTTTCTGATCACTTTCAAATGCACTTGGGTGCCATCAATTTGGCCCTCTTCATTCTCATCAATTTAAGTAATTTAGAGAAAACAGTTCTTTAAAGGAGGGAGAACTCAGCAAAGTCTTGCTCCTGATGTGACAAATCCACCTCAAACAGCAGAGGAAGCCAAAATGCTCTGGCCCAAATGCCCTGTCCTCCAGGTTCATGGCGGCTGTAAACCTCATGCTGGGTGATGGGCTCATTCTTCATGGGATCCACTCCAGTATCTATAGAAGGGGCTGACATTTGCTGAATGTCAATTTCTGGCTGAGTAATGATGTATTTCTGATGTGCTGACTCCCCACAAGACCCTTTCCTTCAGCTAATTGTGCAGCAGGTTTACCCTGAAGGACTCTGAAGGCAGGCTCAGCATTTTCCTTCAGATGAATTAGTTTCTTCTTGATCATGGCTGAGAGAGTTGACTTGCTCAGAACTTCTGCAATGGAGTTGGGAACCCTAGACGACCAAACACCTTCCTGCTAATCTAACCTTGCCATTAACTTCTTCTATGACTTTGGGGAAACCAGATCTTCATTCCC